TTCACAGCTCGCGCCCGCGCGCGCGCGCGTGGGCGCGTTGCGCGCTGAGCCACTTCACCGACGCGCTACAAACCCATGGTAAATCGGAAATCCAATCGGTCTCCGCCAGGGGGCCACTTGAGCTTCCATGCCAACGTTGCGGCACTTCTATTATAAGTGATACAGAATTCACAGCTCGCGCCGGCGCGCGCGCGCGGGCGCGTTGCGCGCTGAGCCACTTGGCTGGCGCGCTGCAGCCCCGCGCTACCTGGGGCACCCATTCGGTCACCGCCCAAGAACCCCTTCGTTTCCAGGCCCCTTCGTTGCCAGACCGCTGAGAACAATGCAGAAATCACACCTCGCGCGCACGCGCGCGTGCGCGTTGTACGCTCGTCCTCCTCCTCCTCCTCCTCCTCCTCCTCCTCCTCCTCCTTTCCTCCTCCTCCTCTTCCTCGCCCAATCCTCCTCCTCTTTCTCCTCCTTTCCTCCTCCTCCTCCTCATCCCCCTCCTCCTTCTCCTCCCCCTCCTCTTCCTCCTCCCCCCCCCAAAGCTTGCGCAGTCAATGTCATCATACTTCTGCTCGCCCCTTTCCTGCTTCTCCCGTCGCTCCCCCCTTCTTCCTTTTAGTCCTCGTCCTCCTCGTGTTCCCCCCCCCCGCCTCCCCCTCCCCCGCCTCCTCATCATTCTTCTGCGCCCTGCCTGTTTCGGCAAGGGCCGCGAATGTGCATTCACACCCGGGCGTGCCCAGGCTGACCCACGAAATTCAGTTTGACGGCTTCCCCATCAATTTCTCTTCGTTACACGGAATGTTCCCGCACTTCCCTGATCAAGACATTTCGCCTGGGTACTTTTGCTGGGTGGACCGTGATGGATACGAACAGTAACGAAACCAACTACGCATCCAACCGCCAATGAAACTACACACGGAAAGCCCCACAAACATGTTTCGCACGTGGCGTTCATCGTGCAACAACACTTCCAGAAGGGCGAAAGAGGCGAAGCCTTCCCACAATAAAATCGCGATTTCTGAATTCAAGCACACACAGCCCTTCAGGGCAAAAACAACAACAAACCATAATTCTGGATTTTCCAAACCATGCCTTCGGACAAAAACGTAATTTTGAATATTACATTTTAGTTGTGCCCCCCGGCCTGGCTGTTAGCGTTTTTGGGTGGCCCCCCCTTCCTGTAGACGGCCCCCTCACTAATCCTCCTCCTTCTCCTCCTCCTCCTCCTCCTCCTCCTCCTCCTCCTCCTCCTCCTCCCTCCTTTCCTCTCCTCCTCTCCCCTCCTCCTCCTCCTCTTCCCTCCTCCTTCTTGTGGTGGTGGTGGTGGTGAAAGACAGGCCCATCGTACACAGTGGAGGGAGGCGGCAGGACGAGCAGGATGGAGGCCGGCGCGGCCGGGCGGAAGCGAAACACGGACCGGGGAGTGGCGAGGAGGGACGGTGCAGGGAGGAGGCGGACGCAGAAGAGAAATGAAAGAGGAGGAGGAGGAGGAGGAGGAGGAGGAGAGGAGGAGGGGAGAGAAGAGAAAGGGGAGGAGGGAGGATGATGAGGAGGAGTGAGGAGTTTTTACGCTCCGGGCGTGCGCGCCAGAGAACAAGAGAGGGACGGGGAGGGTCAGGGCGGGGGAAGGAGGGATGAAGGGGGGATCACCGAGGCGGGGAGGATGGAGGGGGCAGGGGGCAGGAGGGCGAATGTACGAGGTAGAGGGCAGCAAGCAAGCAAGAGGAGGAGGACACGGGAGAGACGAGGGATAGGAGGAGGCTGCACATGAGGAGTATGGAACAGGGCTGGGTTGGGGAGAAGGCGGAGGCACAGTGGACATGAAGGAGAAGGGCGCGTGAAACAGAGAGGGTGCGAAGTGAGAGAGAAGAGGGCGTGGAAAGGTGGGAGGCGTAAGGAAACGAGACAAGGATAATGAGGAGAAGGAGGAGGAGGAGGAGGAGGAGCAGGAAAAGGAGGAGATGGGGGAGGAGGAGGAAGGAGGAGGAGGAAGAGGAGGAGGAGGATGAGTGCGTAAGGAGGAGGAGAAGGAGTGGGGGGGCAGTGTTTGCATACCTGTGCCTTCGGCTTGTGGCGTGCAAGACGTATCCTGCAGTCTCTTAGAGGGGCCGTCTGAGACCTCTCGAGTGCCTGTTCGGGTCCGCGGGGAAGCTTCTGGGCATCCTCTTGGAGGCTGCTCCAAAGCCTCCTGGGGCGCCGTTTCGGAGCCTCGTCTTCGGCGGCGCGCAGAGGGGGGTAGGGAGAGGGGGGAAGGCCTCTGGAAAGGAGGCTGCTTCTTAGAAGGCGCCGGCCTCACATCTGCAGACGGGGCCCACGCCTTCTAAGAAGCAGGGGTGAGGTGTTTCTAAGAAGCCTTCCCCCCTCCCCCTGCCCCCCTCTGCGCGTGGCCGATTTCTGAGCCTATCTGGAGCCTCTTGGGGAGTCCTTGGGGCCTGCTGGCCGCCTTCAGGGTCATCTTGGGGCGGAGGCCAAAAAGTGTCGGCTCGAATTCCACCCCGGGGGCCATCTTAGGAGCCCTCTTGGGGCCGTCTTGGGCGGTCCTGGGTGCCTCCTGGGCCGTCTTGGGGCCCTCTTGGGCCTTCTTGGGGGCCCTCTGGGGCCATCGTGGGCGGTCTTAGGGCCCTCTTGAGGGCTTCTTGGGCCGTCTTTGACGCTGTCAAGATCAAAACATGATTTTGCTAGTATTGGCCGTTTCCATGCAGGAATGGACGATGTTTGCCTCTTCGGGCCCGCTTGGGGATCCTCTAGGAACCGTCTTGGGCCGTTCTTGGGGGGTCTTGGGGGCCCCTTGGCCCGTCTCGACACCGCTCGACAACCATCTTGACCCCGTGACCTATGTGGAATCTGCCCGGAAGCTCTGGGGGGGAGGCTGGGGAAACTCCGGGGAGGCGGCCCCGGGGTTAGGTCGGGCCTGTTCCCTACAGGGGGGCCTTGGGCAACAAAAATAAAAATATTCCAAAAATAGCCAGCAATAGTCCAAAGAAGGTCGAAAATTCGTCCCCATGACGTTTTTGGATTTCCCTCCCGTAGAGGAGGGACAGGCCCGACTTAACCCCAGGGGGGGAGAGGGAACTCTGTGTATTTGCGGCGCGCAGAGGGGAGAGACGGACGGGGGGAAGGCTTCTGAGAAGGAGGCGGCTTCTTAGAGGGCGCGGTGCCCTACATCTGCAGATGGAAGGCCCGCGCCTTCCATAAAGCAGCTTCCTTGTGAGAAGCCTCCCCCCTCCCCCTACCCCCCCTGTGCGCCGCCGAAGAAGAGGCCGCGAAAGGCGCCCCAAGAGGCTTTAGAACAGCCTCCGAGCGGCTGTCCAGAAACTTTCCCGCCGTGTATTTCGGCGGCCCCTGGCGGCCTTCGGCCGGGGGGGGGGCCCAGGGCAGGACTTCTGGCACACGAGAGCCACCCTGCGTGCGCAGGCACAGCAGCAAGCCCAATAGAATTGTGGGCGGGGCGATGTCCAGAGAGGTCCTCACTCGTCCGTTTTCCAAAACACGCGGGGGCGCACAGAGTGGGCTGATGACGCGAGGGCCCTCGAATCCTTCCGAAATCCCCTCTCCCAGAGCCGTCTGGTCCCCCACATTCTCCCCGAAACCCTCGAGAGGCCACCGAGAGAATCGCGCAAAGTTTCCAGCAGCACAACTTCGGTTGACCCACAAGGGGCTTGAGATGAACAGAGGTGGTGCAATAGCCTTGGGCCAATCGTATTGCATATGTATTGCGCCAGAGCGTTGTATCGCATCGTGCTGCAAACCCACAAATACATGGCGTCCAATCCATGGCACCACCTCTTTTTTCGGGCCGGGCGAAAGGGAGGTATAGCAAAGGGGGGGGTTTGAGAATCAGCTCACGTAGCTGATTTCTCCGGCGCCTCCCAGCGCTGGCAGGCGCCCATGTATCGACGAATGGGCCCCTCGGTGGGGCCGAAACCAGCTGCATGCAGCAGATTTCGTACCCCCCCCCTTTCCCTATCCCCCCCTTTCGTTCGGCCCGAAAATATATGGCGCCAAATCTATGGCACCACCCCTTTCTGGGCCAAACATTATGTTGTTCCCATCCTACTTAAGGACCGCATCCCAGAAATAATTTCGAGCACCCGGAAAAAGGTCAAAAGAGTGTCGAAACAGTGTCAAAACAGTATCAAGCGAGTGTCTCCCAGGGCGCGACACGTAAAAACCGTTGAGATTCGGTACTTGTTTGGGCGCTCGAAATTATTTCTGGTAATCGAGGCTAAATTAGGTTGGAACATCATAAGCCAAGCAGAACAACGACGAAGGACGCAGAGAAGGACGGCGGCGACGCCGACGAAGGCCGACGACAGGCCGACTCGGCGGCGGCGGCCCCTCGGCGACCGGCCGACTCGGCGGCGGCCTGGCGGCGGCCTGGCGGCGGCGGCGAGGCGGCGGCGGCGAGGCGGGGGAGAAGCAGCGAGAGGCGTCGGGGATCTTCCGACCCGGGTCCAATCCAGACCCGGGTCAGCCAGGCCTGGCAAGATCCTGCAAGATCCTGCGCCCAAACCCGGGTCCATGCGAGAGATCTGCAAGATCCTGCAGGATCCTGCGCCCAAACCCGGGTCAGTGCGACCCTGGCCCTGCATGATCCTGCAAAATCGGGCGCTCTGGCTGACCCCCGTTCTTCCCGTCGCTCGGACGTCCATTTCCCGTGCATGTTTCGGCTTCGATGGTTCTCGCCGGGGAAAAATGCACACGTCCGAGCGATGCCAAGCGTTTGCATTGACCCCCGTCTCAAGGCTCCCGAAGGCGTCGGGGATCTTCTGACTGGGGTCAATCCAGACCCGGGCCTGCACGAAACCAAAAACTGCAATGCAGGAACAAAAGAACTGCAACGCAGGTCTTCGCAAACCCGGGTCAGCCAACATGTGCGGCCGCCCCGCGGCCACGAACGGCTCGCTGACCCGGGTCAGCCAGAGGGGGTCTTCGCAGGATCCTGCAGGATCTGGTGCCGTGGCTGACCCCCGTTTGCATTGACCCCCGTCTCGAGGCTCCCGAAGGCGGTCGCCTGCCCTGCCGCCGGGGTGCACCTTGTGCTGCGGCGGAGAGGCCACCGCGTGGGGCGGGCAGGGCTGCCGCCCCCGCGCGGAGGAGAGGCCGGAGCCCAGGCCCGGCGGCGACCTGGCGACCCGCGGGGGGCCGACGACGGCGGGGACCACGAGGACGACGAGGGCGACGAGGACGACGACGACGACGACGACGACGTCATGGGATGATCGCACTACCGCTGCATTGTACTGGACGAATATACGTTCGGCTCTGCAATGATTATGTCAGGAGAGACGCCCTGGCGCCTGTCACGTCTGATGCGACATTAATTTTGTAATGTACTTCATAAAGCCTGTACTACGCTGCGTTAGGTAATCACCTCGTTCGTCTTGTCACAGTATGGTGTGAAGCCACGGCCTTACATCGGCGCGCATGTTGCGTTTCCTGAGACGCCGTCATTCGCAAGTTGATGCGATTTTGAATACTCATGATTGCAAATCTGCACACTAATGTACTCTGATATGTCCTGTTCTCGACGAGCCGGCGTGACGTCGTGACGGCCGTCATGTTTGATGTCGCACCAATTCTGCTCTGCTCGGTTCTTGCATCTTCCATACTCTTACCCTGATCTACATTATGCTATGCGACTGTATCGCCTCTTCCGTCTTATCTGCGATGGTCTATTATGGTGGTTTCCCCTGTGCTCTGTGTTCGCATGTACTGTTCTACACAGCTATAAAAAAGGTATGTATGCCATGCTATATTGTTTTCTGTTGCATCACAATAGCTTGCAGCATGCTCTGAACTGATATGAAGCAGTTTTATCGCTGGTAAACTAAGATGTGCGACTATAGCATAACAATATGGTGTGATGTTCTCTTCTGCTCTGCCATGATGCGATAGTTATGTGACGGCCCACAAAAGAGTCCCCACGGGATCCGCGGTGGTCCTCGAGATTCGATGACAGCTTCATGTGGCAGCCCACAAACCGATCCCTGCGGAACCACAGGTGGCCCAGGGGACCTAGAAGTCGCGGTATGTGGCGGCCACAAAAGCCCCCGCGGGACCACCGCTGGTCATGG